GAGTACACCAATTTCATCCTGGGGGGGTGGATTATTATCTAAATAATGGATCTGTAAAATTTTAATGCCTCTCCTGTTTTAGGAAATCTTACGGTCTCAGTAAGAACTAGGTCTTCCTGTATTCACACTCAAATGCCCCATGACATTTTCTTTTACAAAAACGATGTCCGGAGTTCCCTTTCAAACTCAACCATTCTGTGATTCTGTAAGATGTGAAATAAAGTAGGTAGACTAGGAAAAACTGAAGTCAAGTCTGGGAGGAACTTTGGATAACCCTGCACTTGTCAAAGACAGCATAACAATTGTTTACCATAAGGCACCAACTCCATACTAGTTTTTCAATGCAGGCAATGGACAATACAAAAACTGGCAACAGGCTCTAGGTGGCCCTGCTTGAGCAGGGTGTTTGGACTAGATGACTGCCAGAGGTCCCTTCCAACCTCAACTATTTGGAGATTCTTTGATCTTGGCAATTCTCATCCATTACTTGTCACTTTGAGGTTAGAATCACAAAACAGGGATAGCATGGGTAAGCTTCCACTGCAGAAGTGCTCCATGTACATGACGGATGTGGAATCATTTAACAAATGAATGTGGGGAGACAGAAATAATAAAGTCTCTTCTGTGTTACTCTTCAACTGTTATACTTTGGGATTAATTAGCTTTTGATTAAATTGCCCACTTTAGATCTTGATTACTATACAAGAGCATGAACTGGTTTGTTCTAGAATTAGATACTTTAAAACTCTGGATAAGCACCTAGGTTGTTCTACATTATATCAAGTATAATGTTCTATGTTATATCAAGTATCAATAATAATCAGAGCCTTTTGTATTCTGCTCTGGAAATGAAACAAATTATCCCCTCATGTACAAACTTTGATGATATTTAATGTTTCTAGATGTTGTACAACTCAAGCAAAGTAACCTTCCTTGAAGAAGCAAAACCAGATTATGCATGGTATTCTATGTAAACAAAGCATAAGTTCTAAAACGGTGAGTTATAATCTTATCTGAACCACCAGAGCAAGGACCACAAACTGGTCAGAACATGAAGGATACAATATTTAACACTGTATATATTCAAAACCATACAGAATATGCAACTTCTGCGTAGAAAACAGTTGCAATAATAATCTGTGTCACACTCTCTCTTGATGTATTCGTTACTTAAAATATTAATCTATTTGACTAAGGAAAAAACCAATCTATCTGAATAAAGAGGTAGGAGAAGCAAGACTGTAACTACATAGAATGCTAGTGAGTGTGGGCTAGAGAGCATTATTCAGCATGGTGAAGTCAGAATTCAATCACATGATGAGGAAAACCCCTAACCCTGTAACCTTACTGAACCTAACATTGTTAGGGTTTCTATAACACCGAGAATTAAAGCTTCAGAACTTACAAAGGATAGCCATCAATAAGTTCCATAACAACCGCATGCCTGTTGTAGTCTACAGGTTTTGGAACAGGAAATTTTCTGTCATGCAAAGCCTGGAAAGAGACAACACATTGAAAATTAAAATTAAATAGTTAAGAAAACATTACATATAATGAAAAACTCCGCACTAAGATAAGCAATAAATATTACTGTGGAAGCAGCATACGTTACTCAATTGCTAACTGGAAATATCAAATCAGATGCTTAGAGAAGGAAGACAGCATAATAGTCATCTGAACTTTCACTGCAAAGACAAATGAAATTTCTAAGTTTAGGCACTAAGCACACTGCAGTTTAATTATTGTGCATTTGTAAGAAAAACACAACAGAATGGAAAAATGACAGAATCATATCTGGTCTGTTAGCCCAAGTAATCAATAACAGATAACTGGGAATAGGGGGATAGGCATTAGAAAAAAATTCCACACTAAGTTGCTGCCAATACACTTCTGCCTGACAATCCATATTCAATTGCTGTAAAACAAAAGTTACAGAATCACAGAACTGTAGGGGTTGGAAGGAACCTCAGGAGATCATCTAGTCTAATCCCCCTGCCAAAGCAGGTTACACAGGAAGGCGTCCAGGCTGGTTTCGAACATCTCCAGAGATGGAGACTCCACAACCTCTCTGGGCAGCCTGTTCCAGTGCTCTGTCACCCTTACACTAAAGGTGTTCATTCACAAATATTAATAACCAGCATTACACCACACTAAAGATGTGTGTAATACTTTTAAGCTCTGCCGTTTGCCTTTTCCTATGCAAATTTAGTCACTCACTTGATCCATTTAACTTCTTTATGGGTTTATTCTCTTTTTACTCATTCTCTTGTTGCCAGTGAATTTTTGTAAGATTCTAAGTTAAAACAACATAAATACCACTTTTGTTACTTAAATATTACACTATTATCACTTTTCAGCACACAATTTATCCTTCCCCAACTCTCTTTTCAGGAAAACTGACCCCTTGGAAGCTAAATCTCTTCCCACAGTATGGAAAAAAGTGTGCCTTTTCAGATCAGAACACCACTCTAAGCTGAAAGATTTCCCTCAACAGCACGGTGAACAACTGAAAACATGGTAAGTTAAAAAATAAATAGATGAATTCTAAAAAGTGACAGCTGAATAAAAAAAAAAAGAAGAATAATTCTGACGAGTAACTGTAAATTTCCTTACTTTTTAAGGTGTTTTTCCAAACTTATGCAATAAATTTTAAAGGAAAAACAGCAGAACTGGTGCTATATAAATTATCTATCAATAAATAACAACATTCATCTGAAATTCTCTCATAACACCTGCTTCTGTTACACATCTTCCATAGCGCAGCTTCTTTTTGTCATTGGAAAGTATATAAAACATACAGCACTGAAATTCTCTGAAACATATACTTTAAGTCCACTAGTTTAAAAAAAAAAAAAAAAAAAAGCATAAATCCTACCAGTACTGCAAATATTAACTGACCAAAAGACATCTGGAAAAGTATCTTCCCATCTATTACACTATTGCTGATATTGTGTGAATGGCCACCTACCTTCATATAGGCAAACTCCTTCATTGCAGCTAGCCGAGATAAATACAGCCATGACATTTTATGTCTGTGCTTGTGGTAGTCGCGTTTATTTTTCAGACTGCGAAAGGAAGTTCTTCCAAGCCTATGTAATTTCAATGCAAACTGTTGCTCCTCTTCATTTGCAACAATATAAATATCTAGAAGACACATAATGGCACATATCTTATGAAAACGTGCAGTGATAAGTTTGTTACCTCACTTCTCACAATTACTGTTTCTGGCAGAGCAAGTTCTACTACAGTAAAACTGCTAAATTTACATATTGTCCATTAGGGAACTGAACAAAAATATATTATTGTTAAAGAGATCACGGTACTCCATTAGAAGAAACACTGATGTGACCTAAAACATCTTTCAGAGTAGGAGATCTTAAGGTTCCTATATTCAGGTTAACATTCCCTGGTTATTTGCACAGCAAAGAACAAATATAAGCTGTCCTTAAGAGAAATCTAGACCAGATGCTGGTGTTCTTAATTGCACTCTGGAAGAGCAGCCTTCTATTGAGTGGACAGACAACCCTAAGGGACCAGCCTCTCTAATTTAAATAGTTAACAGACTATGTTTCATTGCTATTATTTCTCCCCAATAATTTCCTTCTCATTCTTCAATTACACAAGCTACATGCTGTATCAAATTACAAACAACATGAACATAAGAGGAACCAAGATAGTACTCAAAGTTTTGAGCCTATTTTATTTTACTATCTTATTTTAAGTGTGATGAAAACACTGAAATTATCTTTTTGCTGAAATGGTTCAAAACTTCACAAAGCATGAGACAAGCATCATCTGCCTGCAAAATACCTTTTTAAGCAACAAACCAAGGATCAGACAAAATGGTCAACATATAACAACATTCTTGTGAAGAAATATTAAAATACAGCCAGAAGCCTCACACAGCATTTCAACAAGTGAAAGTTAACTAAAAAAAGAAGAAAGTTAACTAAATCTTGGTGTTTGACAGAGTAACTGATGTGACTATGCAGAGGAAAACTTACCTAGTTTCTAGCAAAACATTTGCAACATTGCAGCTGTGTTTGCTTAAAAAAATATTTTAAATGTTTTTTTTAATTACCTGATTCTTTGCCAACACCCATCTGGTTTCCAACAGAATTTACGACTTCTCGGGAAGACAGAGTTTTCAAAGCAAGGTAATCATATCCTGCATTAGTTAATCGATAACCCTGGACAGCTAGGTAAGAATAAAATGCAAAACATTTGATTCCTCATTATGTATACATTATATTTAAATTAAGTCTCAATTTAGTCCTGTTTCAGTTTACAGTACAAAACACCCAAGTAATATTTCACCCATTGGCTAACATCAGCCTGATCTGACAGAACGGTAAAGATGTTTAAATTCCTGTAAGTTTTATGAAAATTCACAACTTTGTAAAAGACAGACATGCTGTTAGCCCCCCTAATAGAGGCAGGAGCAGTACTTTAAATAGCCTGCGAAAATCAAAGGAGCATTTTGGAAGATACACATATAGGAGACACAGCAGGGATCTGGGATTGTTGTGACCATAAAATCACAGAGCGGTTTGGGTTGGAAGGGACCTTAAGGATCATCCAGTTCCAACCCCCCTGCCATCAGCAGGGACACCTTCCACTAGACCAGGTTGCTTAAAGCCTCATCCGGCCTGGCCTTGAACACTTCCAGGGAGGGGGCATCCACAACTTCTCTGGAGTGACAACGCTCTGAAGAACTGGGATAAAAAGGACAGGAATTTCCTGTAGACTCCTACAGTACGCTTGCAAAGCCAGATGCAATTAAAAGGAAACAGGGAAAGGACTGTACAACTACTACTTGTCACCTAACATGGAATAAAACCTACTTTAGTAGCTGGTTTTGAGGGGGTGAAATGTAAAGGCTTTTGCAGTTTGCTCCAGTTTGTATACTAGAAGACTGGAACTCATTTGGGCCGATTCCTGTATGCATTGGAATACTGCCTTAGCTGATGATTCTTTTACTTTCCATTACTTTGGTGACTGAGCAAAAAGAAAGTTAACTGTTCATCTCTTTTCTGCCTGTCATCTTTATCATTTACTCATTATCAGCAGCTCAGCAGACAGCTGCAATATTTCATGCTGTGCAAATCCCAGTGTAGGACCAAGAGATGGTAAGGCTAGAAAGTGCTCTGGATGCTCTGCTCATACGTGTCAAGCTGTGATACTTCTGCAAGTACCACTGTGAGGCACTGGGGACAGAATGAGAGAGGGAGCCCAAAATTAAATTCAAACTCACTTTTAGTTCGTTCATAAGCTAGAAGTTTGTGCTTCACCAACTCTCTCAAAATTTTGTTACAGCCACCATGTTTAAGGTTGGCAATGGAAGCAATTAAGCTAGCAGGAACTATTTCATGGTTCTTCATGCCCATTTCCACCTAAAAGGGTAAATAAAAATAGATTTGTTAGCCCCTGTGTTAAAAAAATGAAATAATATTAGATCCCACTTGAGACTAAAATAACTTCTCCTGAATGCATTCTTTTTTTTTATGTCTTAGCCAAATTTTTCAATATGCATCACTGCCTCTTGATATCCTTTGTATAACTCAGCCCTGAAACTTCTACAGTACTGGCCAGAAATAAGAATCTGATTAGATTTCAGTTTCACGAGTGGATGAAGGAACTGTTCTACATTTCTGAAATGAGGCTCTTTTCTCACACATCTAAGGCTCAATTTGCCTTCCCATTAATACTTCTCCTGTCAGCAGAGACGGGCCAACTAGTGTGGCCTGTGCTTACCATGCGACTAGCCAAGGCAGCATACCATGCACTAGTAAACCCTTGCTCACTCCTCTGGTGACGATAACTGACTGGGCGGCTACCAGCTACGCAGCCCCAGAGACTGCTCTGACGATCCCGCCGGGGCGGCCACCTGAAGCAAAGAACGGCACGACCTGGGCCCTCTCCACCGGAAAACACCCACATCGGGCCCTAGGGGAGGCAGCGCGAACAGAAGCAGCTACCATTCCCCTGCACCCTTTCTGCCACTGCCGCTTGCGACACAACCGATCCAGCCCGCTACCCGTGCACGGCACCTGCCCGAATCCGCTCACCGAACCGGCCACGCGGAACTCGGTGCGCACG